CGCACTGGACTTGTTTCTCTACACTATACTCATCACCCAACTTTACTCTATAAGAACGCAATGTTAGGTAATCACAGAACCATTTGTTCAGTGGCTCACCAACCCCACACTCTTCCATTGCATTTAACAAGTTATTTGTTTGTAATGTATCAAACGCTTTTTTAAAATCAAAAAACACTGCAAATATGTTTTTTTTATCACCTAAATTGTTATTATATATATTCTTATCGAGGGTGTTAATTTGGATGCATTACTTTAAGAATAAGTAAAAGCGTAATATAATAATTATGTAATAATATATAAGAATAAGTGTAAATTTGAAGGAAATGTGATGTAAAATCAGCCTGCGAAGTTTGTATAATATAACATCATTTTTTGCATTTCAGTAATTTTGTGCTTTAAGATACGAGTTTGAGAAAGTAAGGCGACGGTATGTAGGATACTAAAAATTTTAACTTAGGCTTTTCAAGGCGAGAGTGAATAGGCATTATTTAAGTGTGCATACTCCATCGTCGACCTCATCGTCATTTGCCATCGGGTAAGATGGAGGACAATGAGCACTTAATTAAAAAAAAAAGAATAATATTGTCTTAAAATAAGTTTGAACAAAAAACAATAACGTAAAATTAAACGCTCTTAAGTTAAATCTAGTAGGAATAGGATGTATGTAGACAGGAAAGTAACTCATTTTAGTTGTATTTAAATATAATAATAATTTAACGTAGATAGAGAATGTCAGTCATTTGATTAAAATTTAACAAATTTTCGCTATACCGATTTTACGCTGGTCAATAGCGACAGACGCGGCGCACGTGTCTAGTGGAGCCTAAAGAATTCTAGTCCAGATGTAATGTTTACGCTAACGTTTCTTTTTTTATTAAGGCTCCATTGTGAATGGAATGGACACAACTTTGTTTAGATTAGAAAACTTTTTATTAAAAAAAAAAATAGACCTCAAAACTTTACTCATCAGCTTTTTTTATTGGAAATTCATCTATTTGCCAAGTTTTATTGGAATCCGTTTACGGAAAGTGCTCGAAACCGGATTCATCCCATAGTTTACCACTCTTAGAGGTGAAATATTTTCTTCAAATTTAATACTAAAGTCCTACTTAGGTCTTTCCAACAAAATATAATCATCAAAATCGGTTCACAAATGCCGTAATGTCGTAACAAAAAAATACAGTCCAATTGAGAACCTCCTACTTTTTTAAAGTCGGATAAAAAAATACTGTATAGATTTTATTTCTACTACTGTGAGTATTTTTATTTATACGTAATATTTAGTTATATATTTATAAAATGAGAATATATATTTAATGGTTAAATTCAGTAATTTTTTGAACTTTTAAATCGTGTTTTCACAATTTTGATTTACGACAGTACCTACTTGATTTCATGTATGTTGTATGTAATCTTTGAGTGGTTACATTTTTTAGTAGTTTTTTTTATATTTAAAAAATATTTCAACAATAAAAAAAACGCAGTTTCTACTGGCTTTCGGTATCATGACCATTTCTTTATAATAATAATATGTTGAGCCTGTATCTGTAATTGAGAACTGATAAGCAGAGGTCGGAATTAGGTAGAGTTATTTACGTACTTACACTGGTTCCATGTTACGAAAGAATAAAGTGGATATGCCTCAAATCCCAAGATTAATTTTGAAGAGATTTATTTAATAAAGAAGGTATTCTCTCTTACCCCATTATAACCACTGCACGCGTGACGCCGACGTTGCCAAACTTACATCAACGATATTGAATGTCCGTAGTTGCAAAATTCCAATAGAAATGTGGCAACGTCGCGCGTGTGCGCACACAACATGGCTTAAGAGAACAAAAGAAAACAATAAAGGAAATGCGGAGCACTCCCCGTTCAACGAAATGTACTAGATTTTGTCTCTTTCTAAGCTTTTAAGCTTTTTATTTAAAAAAATCGGTTGACTCATTCACAGAGCTCATTCTTTACCTCGGTTCGTAGAATGCGCTCGTTTGTTTACTCCTGTGTTTTGTGTGGTGAATTTTGTTTGACCCTGGCTTGTTATTCGGATTCTGGACTTCTACTAATACGACTATTTTGGCACCCATTAACGGACTTTGATTTGAAGATTTGATTTGATTATTATTATTTATGTGTCATATTGATCGCCACACATAAGAAATCCCGGGAAGGTCCATATTAATATCTACATTTCGATGCAAGTACATAAATAACTCTACCTAATTCCGACCTCTGCTGATAAGTAAAGGACTTTAAATCCACATTTTGGATAGGAAATGAAACTACTTTTTCGGATTTAAATAGCGTATATTGTTTTTTTAAACAAACCAACCCTTTACAGGTCCCATGGTCACGGTTGACTGAGGTGGTAGATTCCTAGTTTTAACTATAGCTACAAAACTTATTAATTAATTAAAAATTTCATTTCGTATGTGTAACAATCGCGAAAACCCAAGAACTCGATATCCACATTTTGGACTTTAGTTGTTTTTACAAACATTGCTTTAGAATGCTAAGAATCAAGAAATGGTAAAAGACATTAAGTACCTATCATCGTTTTCTTTATTTAACGCATGTCGTTTGACTTTAAGATTTTTATAATACCTGATTTTCAAAAGGCTGTGTATATTTAAGGTTTTTACTTCTCACCTATAGATATTAAAAGTATTGGTTTGTTTTTGTAGATACAGATCAAGAAAATATTTATTGGAACATCTTCGTGTACATAAACGTAGACATGCTTTTGTCTGCCAATATTGTGGAAAGAACTTTAGAAAAAAATATAATTTAAATGTAAGTATAATTTTCATATTTTATGATGCCAAGTGACGTCACGAATAAGTCGTACCTGGTGGTAAGCGACATGCCTGTCCTTAGAAGATTTGAGGGGCGCTGTCACTGCGACAGTCACTTTGAAATATAAGTTAACAAGTCCCATGTGCCTGTAATATATAAATAACTGCCTCTGTGGACAAACGGCTATCATACTGGCCTGCCACGCAGAGGTCCCAGGATCCGGGATCAGGCCCGAAGAAATATTTATATGGCCTACATTTGTTTCTCTCGTGACTTTGGGTGTAATTTGTGATTGTCTATATGTGTGTCCATGGCACCCGCGACAAAGGGTTTCCCAAGTGCAAGAGCTTTGAGAGTGTGAAAAAAATACTGCGTCTGTCACCATGAAACGTATGTTGACAAGTTCCATGTGCCTATAATTTTACCAGCACCTACCCTTCAAAACCGGAACACAGTAATGCTAACTTACAGTAACGCTTGCCGGTTGAAATAGGTAAGGTGGCATTATTTTCTCCGGACGAACTCTTTCACAAGGAGCTCTACTGCTACTTGTATAGTATTCTAACCGCTTATGGTATTCATCATAACTGGTTAGAAAACTAAACTATACTAGCGGCAAACTGATGGACGGGTTCACCTGATGGATAGGATAACTGCGGTGGCGACCGTAGATTATTTGAGATTATTCAATAGTAAAATATTTGACAAGTTACTACAGGGTACCGTGGATTTTAAACCTTGTACTTTTGTAATGCTGATTGCATTACAAAAGTACAAGGCTTAAAATCCACTTCGCACTAACTTCTTAACTGATTTAATTAAAAACACGTTCAATCAAATAAAACATTTTATATGTAATTTAAATTCTAAAAATCGTCAATTGAATGTATTTAACAAACGAATAGAAAATTCGTAAGATCGGCTGACTCGATCTGTAGCTAGGTAGAGCGGTTGTTCTAGATTGGCATTACAGACGCTGGTTCTAGTGCCCTCAGAATGAAGGAATTTTTCGTTGTGTTCAATCTTTGTATTAATTATAAAAAAACTAGTGGAGATATTTCACAAAACATCATGATAATTAATGTGTAATACATTTTTTTAACGCACACATTCAACATAGCCCCGCAGTAGGCAAACCCTGTGTCGCGGGTGCCACGGACACACACATAGACAACCACAAATTACATCCAAACTCTCGAGAGAAATAAATGTAGGCCATACAAATATTTTTCACGGCCCGGGAATCGAACCTGGGATCTCTGCGTGGCAGTCCGGCATGGTAACCGTTCGGTCACAGAGGCATTTAAAAATTTGTTTTGCACTTACAAAACCGACCTCAAAAATTTGTGGAATTACATCTATTTGCCAAGTTTTATTGAAATTGGTTAAAGGAAAGTGGGTCGGATAAACCGGATTCATCCTCTAATTTGGCACCCTTAGGGCGCATTTATTCGACACGAATTTTACCGCGCTCACCCCGCGCGGTCGCCGAGCGGAGACCGCGTTGCCGCCGCGCAGCGACCGCGTGCGTCTAACTGTCATGGCAAAATACGCTCTATTCATTTTGCTTTTACTTTTTAACTTAAATAAGCATCCCGGGCACGCGGGTGAACCTGGGAGTCTAATCTCGTTCTCCGTCCGACATCCGTCCGAAACAATTACTGTGAAATAATTAATACTCAACCAGATTAAAAGACAATGTTAGGTATGAAGCTTCATTCGCATCATGCGGAGAACGAGAGTACAAGGCCTGGCTTGAGTTTGGTCTACGCGGCGGCCGGTTGTATAATTCAGAGGAATTTAAAGCCTAGTAAATACAATTCAGATTCGCCGTTAATGTACCTACATGAAGGCGTGGTAACTGGGCGGTCGCCCCGCGTCCGCCGCGCGAAAACATTCGCTTCGTGTAACTGGACGCTTAAAGGTGGAAAATTTTTTTCAAATTGCAACGGGACCACTACTGAGGTACCCCCTTTCCAACAAAAAAAATAATAATCGAAATCGGTTCACAAATGTCGTAGTAATCACATAACATATACACAAATACAAAAAAAACAGTCGAATTGAGAAATATATTTTTTTGTATACACTGGCTTTTTTGCACTAAAGCGTAAAAAAATTATGTCGGTAAGACGCAGAATGGGAGCTGGGGAGCCCGAACAGCATACTGAAGATACTAGCCGAGAGACCGGACAGTGCTTTACAAAGGCATTGGGTATCGGCTCTGATAAATCCTCACGCTTAATTATTTTATAATCAATTATTTGTGTGTTTTATATTATTACTAACGAGATTTTATTTGCAGTTTATTTTACACATATGGACTCTTTGTGGTCTGAATAAATAAAATGTGAATTTGAATATTTTATTAAGTCGATTAAAATCAATACTAATGGTAGTTTATTTTTTTAATAAAATTAATTATTCTTCTCAATAGCTATTCTGTTACATTTAAAAGGCTAATAGTACAATTTCTTCCGTAGTTACATATCGAGTGTGTCCACACGGAGTCTAAGTCTCTGGTATGTAACCATTGCAATCGGGTCTTCAAGAATCAGCACACTTTGCAAATGCATCTCAAACGAATGATTCAAGAGAAAATATACATTTGCGATTATTGTTCCAAAGGCTTCCCTACTCTTAAAACGTTAGAGAAACATCTAATATGGCACAGTGATGACCGGCCGTTTGCTTGTTCAATATGTAACAAGGCATATAAAAATAAATCTCAGCTGACGAAACATCAAATGGCTCACACCGGACAACGCTACAAATGCCCTATTTGTAGTAAAGAATTTGTGTCACAAGGATCGTTTAAAAGGCATCAAAGCGTTCACACAGGCGTTCGAAGTGTTAAATGTGTAAATTGTAATCATACATTCCACAGTAAGAAACAAATGATTGCGCATTGTAATCGAAAACATCCCGCATCTTAGAAATATAGTTTTAATTAAATTATATTGAACAGACCATCTTTTTATTTTCAATTTGGATATCTATAATGTTTATTGTTACCTTCATAGCGGCCACTAGACTGGGCCAGTGCCAGTTTTGATATATGTTCTCGGTTAATACTGATCAATAACGCCAACGATTCGGCAGCAGTAAGTTATTTATTTCTGGAAGAACCTCTTCTACTGACTGTTCGGGTGGATTATCCTCCTAAGGCCCAGCAAACTACAATGGAAAAAGCGCTAAATGACCAATGTACATAAAAATGTACTAAATATAATTACTACTTCAGCAAATATGTCTTCAATTTTATATGAAAAACGTGTTTTTCTAGATACAAATAGATTATACATTATTATACACACTGAGCACTTATGTGATCATAAACTATGACGTTATATTAAATTGAAATTATGAAGTTATACACACTAAAGCATTACATTATTAGATAAAATCACACAAAATGTTAATTAAGGGAGAATATCATACATAAAGAAAAAAGGATTTATGGTAGAGTAAGTATATCAAGATGTCGACATTTAAAATTTAAAGTCAACTCTTTGTCGCTTGGTCAGCGTCAAAAATGTCACGCTTTATGTTGTCTTGACTGTATTGAATAATGTAATTATAAACAAAAAAAAAAATTTTGAAATTATAGCTTTTGTGTATTGTTGCTTATAAGTTCATACCTATTTAAAATACCTATTTAAATTCGGACAATCTGACATATATTTACATTTAGGACCAACATCGGAAATATAGTTCAATCGACGATTATTCAAACAATATTTTTGTGTCTATTGTAAAATTGATAATGATTTGTGTTTTAAATCAATACATAAAATCTGTAATAGTAACGTTTCTAAGGGTCGTATTCTAGAACTCTACTCAATGCTCAAGTCAGGATTGCACTGGAAATACGACCCTAATGGCAGTGACTTGAGTATGATTTCGAGTGCTTTAAACCATACTCGTAGTATGGTTTAAAGCACTACACACATAGAGTAGAGTTCTAGAATACGACCCTAAGACCCTGTGCTCACGGCGCATTTTATACGCGCCGATGATTGTATTGTATCGATTCAAACGCGCGCAAAAGTCGCGTTGCAAGCAAGAAGTTTTACACTTACAATTTCGAGTAGGTAGTTACTTCGAATTAACAAACAAAACTAAAATTAAAACTATCTTTTATCAAAATGCGCTACACACACGCGCTACTACAGCGCGTATACGCGCAGATGACTCATTTACGGCGCGTATAAAATACGCTGTGTGCATAGGCTCTAGTATGTAATGCAAACAACAAACAAACCACGTGACGTCACATATATAGGTAAACAAAGAAATGTCATCGTGTTCAATGGTCGCGTATTATCTTGTTTTTTCTCCGTTTAGCCACTTGTTAACTAAAAACTACAAATGTTGGATTGAACACAATACCTAGTTAATCAATAATAGTCAGCTGGGGTAAAGAAACATACTTTTTTTGAGTCAAACCTTTTGAGCTCTAGGAAGAACGGATAGTCTTAACCATCACCGAAAATGTGCAAAGTGTGCTAACTAGGGAATGCAATACCGGGATCTCGAAATACCGGGATCCTGCACCAATTTTGCGGGATTGATCCCGCATGTAAACTGAGCGGGATCCCGCGGCAATTGCGGGATAAGCTATAAGCAGATGAAACGATCGGCATCGATCGGATCGGAATCGAGATATGTCTATGTATATCTTTATATATTATTTATTTTATTTTATTATTTTCTGCAAGAGTTGCTGCTGTGTGGAAGTACTGTTTGAAAGTGGAAATTCACAGTTAGGGAAATGCAGCTTGAGTAAATCGATAATTTAAGCCCTAAGACGTTGCATTAAAGATTTGCATGTGCATTAGCGACGAAGATGGACCAAAGGTTAGCGACAATATATAAAATTTATACCAAGTCAAAAGATTTGGAAGATTTCTTTGTCAACCTCTCTAGGGTCTTAGAGGTAGTTCGGCGAGGACAATAACTATTTTGATATATGTGGGTTAAAAGGCTCATATTTTCAGTTTGCTTATAACGCGTTAATGACGGTTATTCCTGCTGGGGTGGAAGCACAGCGAGCCTTTGTTCGCTGCTAGCTACCTAGTTTGTATGGAACCTTTTAGTTTTATATTTTATCGTTTTTGCGCGGTTACCTACTTCCAAAATTGTGATTGATCTTAATAAACAACTTAGTAATATCCTTTCTTTCTTTGAATTTTAGCCCTTAGCAAACTTGTAGTTTGACGATATGACTTTTTTTCGAAGTCTTTCAGCTATCTGCGGGATCCAGCAAATACCAGGATCCCATGGGATCAGAAACTTGCACTCCCGCAAATACCGGGACTAAGATTATCCTGCGGGATTGCATTCCTTAGTGCTAACGTTTGTTTTCCCCCAAAAGATGGGGTACGACGATGGGGACGGTAATGTACACCTCGTATTCACAAGATTTCGCAACAGTCAAATTTGTTTTTTCCACCTTTTTGATGTGGAGCATCGTAGCGACGTCACATATTCTATTATTTGTTTGTCTGTTTTATCGACTGAGAGACTAGTGCCAAACGCTTTAGACTATGAGTTAAGGCTTCAAGTCCCTGTCCCCCAGTGTTTGGACTGTCGCGTCGTAAGTGCATAATGTCTAGTTTGTTTACCACCAATGACGTCACGCGTTCCAAGTTGACACTAGTTTTTTTTATTACATTTATAGTTTTAGGGATATCAAAAGCTTATAATAATATTTTTCTCTGGGGTATATTATATCTATTATGCTTAATTTGTGCGACTTACTATTGAGGTCAAAACCGTTGGCAGCGTTTAATTTTAACGCATTTGAGGTAGCTGAGTTACCAGTCTCGTATTTCTCTACGGGGTTGGAAAATTTCAACATCCTTATATTTTTCGTTTAGGGATGCTCAAGTTTTGCATACACTGTTATTGGTCCATTTTTTAGGAGTTTCCCTTCGGTCGTCACATTTATGCGAGGGAAAAAGGCCAATCCATCAAAGTCGAAGGCAGAGTCTCGTTAGCATAATGAATTAGTGCCTCTTGACAGGTCGACCGTCTTCACTACGCTTTACCTGACGCACGATTTTCCAACAATACCCCTGCTTTGGATAACAGAAAACATTTTTCAGAATATAACTCAAATATTTTTTTTATGGCGCCACGTGATGGGACGAACTGCGTGCGCCTGGTGGTAAGCGACACACCTGTCGATAGCAGTGGCAGTGCCACTCACAGTTTAAATTGCAAAAATCTGAGGCACTGCTACTTTGCATGTCACCATTAGATAAAAGTTTACAAGTTCCATGTCCTGTAATTTCACCAGCACTTATCCTTCAAAACCGGATCGCAATAATACTCACATAGGGTTGGCAGCGGAAATAGGTGGCAGTACTTCCCTGGATGAACTATTTCACAAGCAGATCTACTACTACTAAATTAAGTACTTTAATCCACAGGTAAGCAGATTACACTTGAAATTGTCACATTGAACTTTACTTCACGTTTAACTGCCTTTGTTACCCAAAGGTTACTACGCTGGACTGCCACGCAGAGGTCCCGGGTTCGATTCCCGAGTCGGGAAATATGTGTATGGCCTACATTTATTCCTCTCGTGAGATTGGATGCAATTTGTGGTTGTATGTGTGTGTGTGTGTGTCAATGGCACCCGCGAAACAGGGTTTCCCTAGTGCGGGGCTATTAGTGTGTGCGTTAAAAAGGCAGCGGTAGGTCGTAAGAACAATGAGCAAGAAATCATTTACAATATTTATTTCACATATACGGTATAATATATGACCATGCAATTTTGTCGTCCAAGTATTTACATAGAAGCTGAAAATGATCGTTAGTGTAAAGTTTTTGTTTCACTATAGTATAAACCTCGTAAATGGGAAAAAACCCTGCATGACGGAGAAAACTCTTCAAAAGACATGAGGACAGCATGGTGAGCCCAATACGTTCTTTCCGTTAGGAACCAGCAGTCAGATATATCTACCTAAAACTAGTTAGTAGATATCAATAATCTATTGACAACATATATTTGAAATGAAAGCAGATATTTCAACTTTGCAAAACTTTCAGCGTGTTACGTGTCAATACTTTAAAATAAGCTTTCCTGTTTCGAAATTATAGAACTTTTGGTATTGGACTAGTCTTTTGCTCATCATTAATATTACTTGATTTTGCACTTTTTACTGTATTTCTCTCCAAGGAATAATACGGGCTACTTAAACATTTTAAAGGTGACACTTCATGTACTTTTCCACGTAATATATTTTATTTTAGTTTTGTTTTTTATAATATCAAGTTGATATACATACAGGTGTCCCAAAACTCAACGATAACCCGAGAACAGGATGTTGCCTAGTTTATAACAACCCTAAAAAAATAATAAAAAACATCGGAGTCATGTTTTTTGTGATATAAGCATTTTAATGAAAAATGTTCGACCTGTAGTTTTTAAGCTACAATTACCAATTTGGTAATTTTGCTGTTCTAATTTTTGTAACGGTAACCTAAATAGCACAGAAAACGCCGTAAATATGACCTTTTCACCAATCGTGTATATCGTCCTAAATTTGTCTGTTGTACAGCTTCCGTGATTCTTTGTCGTAATTCGGCAACGTTTGATATCGGTTTTGCATAAACTTTTTCTTTCAGACAATCCCAGAAAAAAGTGTAGGGGGTTCAAATCTCGAGAACGGGATGTCAGATCAACATCCTGTTCTCAGGTTATCTTTGAGTTTTGGGACATAATATAATAATTGCACAACTAAGGCTAGTTATTCATAAACAGCACGTCATACGCAGTCTAAGTTCTCAATATAGTTCTAGATTACGCACCAATTTTATTGTTGTTTCCATTGCACCGAGAGGGCTATATGCTCATCCCTACATATACGAGGTGGAAAAACGAGTTTCGCATAAAGCAGGTTATAACATCGGCGAGCGTCATAAA